TATTTTACAAAAAAAATTACTTTTTTTGTTAAATTCGTTATTAAAATATTATTTTATGTCATAACATTTAAGAAAATTTTCAACAGACTCGAACTCAATGCTACTAAAAAAACAAGTATCATGAAGCCGTCGAAGGTTTAACACAGTCCACTAAGTTTAAATTACTGTGCAAGGTGAACTGATTCACCTTAAAAGAATGTATAAAACACAATCAAATAAATAAAAATTAATAGCTAAACTAACTAAAACTCAGAAAAAAAAAGAAAGACATAAATAAAAGTACAAATTATTAGGTTTTAACATAAAAGAAACATTAGACAAAGCATATTTTTCACTTATGTAACAAAAAATGCCCAGTTGTTATATTTGTTGCAACTTAAAAACAAACCTTCAAACAATTTATATAAATGAATGTATAGTTGGTAAACTTAGAAAATAAAATATTGATTTTGTTTTGTTTTCACCAATTGCAACATATTTACCTCTGTCTGTTTTGGGGAAGCTGTTTTCTCTCAACTGGAAACATCTTCGAGACACAAACAATTACAGCAGCCTCGTCTGAAGCACTACAGGCCAGGAAGTCTAACAACAAAATAAAACTAACTGTCTGAACATTACCAATATGTTTGATGATTATCATGAGAACCTTCAAGACTTAATTCATAAGTTTCATCACTAGTCCTATATCCAGGACTTTTAAGAGTTCTAGTCAAGAAAATGGTTAGTTACATTTGTGTAAGAAAATCCCAATAACTTTTTAAAAATGTTATATAAAAGAAAAATCATCCACGTACATTTGGGGTACATGGTGCCACTGAAAAACTAAAAAAAAGATAATTGTGGATTAATATCAAAATTAAAATATGGTTAGAAATACAGTTAAATACCATATGGAAGATATTATGAAAAAGTAGGGCCCAATCAGTGCTATGACTTAACTGTGGCCCAATCAGTGCTATGACTGTCTCAGATCTACTGAAACTTATTTTAATTAACAAGAAAGTTCCAAATTATTAAAACTTATTTTAATTAATAAGAAAGTTCCAAATTAAGGTGGAACAATCATTTATAAGTATTTGTGTTATTGAAACATTTTATTGGTAACAACCAAATACTACGGTGTTACGTTACTATTAGCACTGCTGTGTTACATTAGTATTAGTACTGTGGTGTTACATTACTATTAGTACTGTGGTATTACATTAATATTAGTACTATGGTGTTACATTAATATTAGTACTATGGTGTTACATTACTATTAGTACTGTGGTGTTACATTACTATTAGTACTGTGGTGTTACATTAATATTAGTACTGTGGTGTTACATTAATATTAGTACTGTGGTGTTACATTAATATTAGTACTGTGGTGTTACATTAATATTAGTACTGTGGTGTTACATTAATATTAGTACTGCGGTGTTACATTAATATTAGTACTGCGGTGTTACATTAATATTAGTACTGCGGTGTTACATTAGTATTAGTACTGCGGTGTTACATTAGTATTAGTACTGCGGTGTTACATTAATATTAGTACTGTGGTATTACATTAGTATTAGTACTATGGTGTTACATTAATATTAGTACTGTGGTGTTACATTAGTATTAGTACTATGGTGTTACATTAATATTAGTACTATGGTGTTACATTAATATTAGTACTGTGGTGTTACATTAATATTAGTACTGTGGTGTTACATTAATATAAATTTCCTTATCAAACCTAATTATAGCTTTGTTTGAAAGCCAGATAAATTATAGTAATTTTAGAACATTTTATTCTAGTGCTTGGTACACCTTTTGTGTTCTAAAATGCATATTTGAAAGCTATATGTATTATTCTGTGGATAGCCAACAAAGTTTGAAAACAGTAATTTTATCAAAGTATGTTCCTGGCTATAAACAGGCCTATAACTAAGGTAAGTGCTAAATTTCTTGTTTTTTTATGTATGTTTTTGTTAATTGCTATAAAAGCAATCAAAATGTGAAAATTAAAAACTTAGCTAAGAAAATTTAAATGAAAAAAATTAAATAACATTTTTCGTGATCACTCCTGAAGGAATACATCACCTGATAATTTCTTTGCTCTAAGCTCTCCTATCAGGAGATTTATTGTTTGTCATAGTATAGGAGACAGCTCAAAGTACAGTTATAAAATCATAGAATTAAAAGAAAGTAAACCAGAAAAGGTTAGATTGTTAGGATAAGTATGTATAATTCTCTACAGTCAGTCTAGAAAAAATGTATTAGTGTTACGGTAGATAAAATACAAAATAAAGTACACGTTCTTACTGAAAAAACTTTCATATTCATTCAGGACGTTCTAGAGGCTATGGAAATGAAATATGAACCTGTGTATTAGATTAAGAAAAGTATTTTTATTCTTAGGTTGAAAATAAAGTTTCATTCAGACTAAATCAGTAAATACTTTGTGAATTTAAAGACAAAATCTTTATTAAAAAGTCTGATTTTTTGGATACAGACTATGGAAATGAAATATGAACCTGTGTATTAGATTAAGAAAAGTATTTTTATTCTTAGGTTGAAAATAAAGTTTCATTCAGACTAAATCAGTAAATACTTTGTGAATTTAAAGACAAAATCTTTATTAAAAAGTCTGATTTTTTGGATACACAGACTTGAATGTTTGCCAAATTTCATGAAGATACACTTATTACATTCAGAGTTACAGTATGTATAGTCTCATGAAGATACATTTAGTACATTCAGAGTTACAGTATGTATAGTCTCATGAAGATACACTTATTACATTCAGAGTTACAGTATGTATAGTCTCATGAAGATACATTTAGTACATTCAGAGTTACAGTATGTATAGTTTCATGGTGGTTGTAAGGTTACTTAAAATGGCCATATATGTAGGGTTTATAATGGCAGTATTACATTAGTATTAGTACTACAGTGTTACAATGGTATTAGTAATACAGTGTTACAATGGTATTAGTAATACAGTGTTACAATGGTATTAGTAATACAGTGTTATAATGGTATTAGTACCACAGTGTTACAATGGTATTAGTACCACAGTGTTACAATGGTATTAGTATCACAGTGTTACAATGGTATTAGTACCACAGTGTTAAAATGGTATTAGTACTACAGTGTTATATTAATACTTCAGTGTTACAGTTTTACGAGTGTACATGGATTTGATAAGAGTATTACCATCAGATAGGACATATTCCCAAGGTAATTATTTTAAAAACTATTGTTTTAAACAGTTCTTGCAATTCTATTAGTGTAAAGTACTTAGAATGTTGTACTTGTAAGAGCTATCCATATTATCATCAGAATTCTACATTAAATCAATTATAATTAATTTCATACACAAGAGCCTACAAATAAAAGGTAATAAAATACAAACAAAACAGGCAGGTACTATAAAAAATATACATCTCTAAGTCACACATACATTAAAAACCTCAAATTCTTACCTTCCTTCAAAGACTGTGTCTGTACAGGCAGTGAGTCAAATCTACAAGTACTGGTGCACATGAGACTTTCTACTCTCTCCTCACTTAACTCTAGAGGATTGGGGACTAACAAGCTAACTTTTTCTAAAGATCAGAAAAAAAATTAATAATATATTTTTACTATAAAACATTTTTTTTACAAAGGTAAACTAAATACTTATGTATTTCACAAGTCCGTGCTTTCCAAAAGTCTTAAAATATTCAAATTTATTATTAAGTCTAGATTATTCTTTGATTCTTTTTTTTTTCATTCATCCTTTATTTTCTCTTCTCAACAATCACTACATTAGAACACACCTTAAAGATAAACAGAAATATAAGTTCACATGAAACAAATTACACCTGTATAGAGAAAGCAAAACAGAATGACTTGAAATTGGAAGCACCGAGATATCTCCAAATATTCAAGATTTGTTTGTAATATCTACAATAACTTCCAAGGAAAAAATAAAACATACGAGCATAAAAATCAAGAGATGGCTTAAAACTTAACTGTTGGAAAAACACGTTGCTTACAATAAACATTTTTAAATGGTTTGTTTGTAATTAACCACAAAGCTACACAATGGGCTATTTGTGCTCTGCCCACCATGGGTATCAGAACACGCTTTCTAGCATTGTCAGTCTGAAGACAAACTGATATACCACTTGGGGAGCAATTTTGAATGAATTTAAAGTTCTTATCAATTAAACAAAAAATTTACATTAGTTTATCATTTCAGAATACAAAAAAACTATAAAATTACCTAGCACAGCTTTGGAGAGAGGTAACCACTGACCAAGAATAGCTTGTAATTTAACTCTCGGATCACTGTGTCGAGCATCCCTAGTCGAGACTGTCAGGCTCATAGATTTGACTATCTTTTCCATCATTTCTGCATCTCTAATAAGGCAAGAAAAAATTTAATTTTCATTCTTATATACACAGCTACAATAATTAAAATACAAGTTCATGTATTATTCCAATTTTTTTTACTTAGAAAAATTTAAATAAAATTTGTATAATTCCTGTCATACCTGTGAATTTAACTGAATGATTTAACATAAATCAAGAATACCACAAATTCTAAGCCAGGCAACATCAATCAAGAATTCCACAGATTCTAAGCCAGGCAACATCAATCAAGAATACCACAGATTCTAAGCTAGGCATTATTAAAACATGAAAACATTCTTACCTTCTCACCATAACAGCTTCATAAACAGCCCAGATGTTTTCTAAAACTAACTGCACAAACAGTGGCTTCTTTGCTTTAGCCTATAAAATCCAAATCTTCTCTTTATTAGGTGAAAAAGTATTCCTCAGAAACTTGTTCAGATTTATTAATTTTAAAAACCTGACAAGGTGACAGAATCAGTCCATAAACTATAAACAGTTATATTAATTGACAGAAGTTATAATTTGCCTATACTGAAAAAGTATTTCCAATAGGTACTTCCCTCCTCTCACAAGATTAACTATTCTTGTTCACTGCTGCCCTCTATATGCAAACTCTTTTATTACACATGCCACAAGCCTTCCGCACCCCCTACTGGAATCAAATGATTCCAATGCAAGTCATCATGCATCACTTCTCCACCAATAGGAGAATAGTACACTCACATGACGCATGTGACTCCCTCTATGCACCTCTACTGAACTATCACTTCAAAGTTTGGCAGATGACGGAAACACCGGAAGTGAGTGGGGAGGAAGGGTGGGAAGTGTTAACAGACAGAAATACCTATCGGAAATACATTTTCAGTATAGAAAAATTATAAATTCTAATACAATACTTCCCTCCACTCACAAGATTAGCTAGAATCCTTCACTGATTAGGAGGAGGGACCAGTGAGAGAGAACAGACATAACCTCCGAAACCATCCAAAGGATACCTCTGTAGGTGAGAGAGTCAGATCCAAAGAGGGGAACTGATCCAGGTATACTCTTCACCCATATGTGAAATGTGTAAGAAATCAGGGCGGAAAATGAGAGGAGCACATCCCAGGGGAAGAGAATGCGGAAGATGATCCTAACCAGAGAAAAACATAGTAATTCAATCCCGTGATAAGAAAAGTGGCTAAATGATGATGCGTCCCATGGTGTAGAGTGGCTAGGGCACAGCGGACCATACTTGGTAAGTCAACTAAATCCAAAAACTTCTCACAGAGTATCAACATCCATGCAAGGGTAGGATGAGGATCATACTATCTTCACCTCAAACTCAAGAACTGGGGAATTGAGAACTACTCTGATTCCTGGGTATTACATCTATAGATCCGGAAATTTGACATCCGGTATCAAAAGGAAGTCTATCGCATGCAATCAATGCCCGTGGCTGTGAAACAGGTCAGGACCATCCAAAAAGCAATAACATCTACGTAATAAGAGAGAGCCAAGGATAGAACCAGAACAATCCCACGTATCCCTCATGTGATCCATAACACGAAGGAGGAAGGGAGGAAAATAAACAACACTAAACCTGTGTGAGGAATTATGCCGATTGATTCACTCGAAATCCAAAACCAGCCTGTGGAGTACCAACATCCGCATGAAGTTAGGATGACGGCTCCCAGACAAAGGAGTGAACTGCATTTTGAAGTCTCACTCCATTGTATGGTTAATCGCAAATCAGAGCATATTACGTCATCTACACCAGCAGAACACCACCGCCCAACTATTGGGTAGGATGCAAGAAGGACTTCTCTAATTTCATCAACCAGCCTACCCGAGCAGCTTCAAGGAGATGGCGAGTATGACTGGCCAACTCCTGTTCGGAATGGGCCAGAAGTAGCCAGTTGTCCATTTAAAAATGGAAATGCAGTCCCAGGGCATAAAGATGAAGAGCAAAAGCTCTCACCACCTGACAGAAAACATAAGGAGCAGAAGCCAGCCTGAAAGGTACAGCACAAAATTGGTACACCATCCCTCGATGGACGAATCAAAGATAACGAGAAGATCATTCCGAGATGGGAATATGCAGATAAGCATTGGAGATATCCATCTTGGTCATCCATAGACCCATAGAAAATGCCCACTGATGAGTGAGGTAGGACTCCAGGGTGAAATGTGGGAGGTTAAAAAATCGATTGAGGTGGAACAGATTGACGATAGGTCTCCAGTTCCCGGTCCTTTTGGGCATAACAAAGAGATGGAGTAAAACCCAGGTGAATGATGTGGTACAGGTTCGACAGCCTGGTGGGTGAGAAGGTCCTGTACCATCTCTGATAGACACTTGAAACTTATGGGATCACGAAAAAAAGGGAGGAAACAAGTATCTGGGACAAAAAATGGAATTTCGAGGTCCTCTGACAAAATCTGAAGAACCCAAACATTGGTCGAGATATGGACAATCAGTACAATGATATGCGAGGACAGACTGATTTGAAGCCCATGGGGGACGAGGCATACTAACGCCATCACCCAACTGAGAGGTGAATTGTTCAGCGTGTACCAGAATGTCAGGGGATGGAGGGAAACCAAATGGGGTTGGGAAGTATATTCATGCATTAATGAAGGATTTGGGTCATAATATATGGGAGCAAGAAATAAAACATCACATGCCTGAGAAATAAAGTCTGAGAAAGCTTGGAAGGCTGAACATGATCATCAGGATGGGTATGGGAAGGCACAACAAACTCAGGAGGTGGAAACAGGTGATCAAAGTCCTCATCAGCCTGCCCAGGTTCCACAGGTTCAGGAGGAATTGGGGCAATGTCTGGAGATAGAGGTTGACCAATATAATGTTCAATCTCCCTGCAAATAAACGTAGACAAATCTCCCAACGGGTCACCAGCAACTGAAGCCTGTGGTAAATTGTCTGTTGAATGTGAGACACCCAAAGTTGTGACATTAACTTCAGAAGTCATGTTGTATCAATAGACAAAAACATTTGATGGAAGAAATAAATGTGACTAGAACAAGAGTAGTTGAACATGAATACTTTAAAAAAAACTGAGTCTGTGAAATTTAACCACTTCGAGAACTAATTCAATCTAAAATACTAATCAAGACGAAAAAAGAAAGACATCCGAGTGCAAGCATTGCCTAACGAGAAGTGATAGATCAGTAGAGGTGCACAGAGGTAGTTCTCATGCATCACGTGAATGTACTATTCTCCTATTGGTGGTGAAGTGACACATGATGAGAGACGTTAGAATAGCTAATCTTGTGAGAGGAGGGAAATACCATATCAGAAATAGTCCATGACCTAAGCTATAAACAACTATGTTCAATGACAGAAATACCTCTACAAGCTTGAACACTTGTACATTGTTGTAGTCCTACATTCAAACCTCTGTAACAGAATTAGGACTAATGTAAAATCAAATTATTTGTACAAAATAGCTCAATAAGCATAATGGCTAACACAGGTCAAAAATACTTACAAACGGACAGAAACAATTCTTGAAACAAAACTCTACACATTCCAAACTTATAATCTAGTTTGGAATGTACTAGAAAAAACTTGACATATAATATCTTAAAATTTTCTAGACCTACTTAACTTCATCATTGAAATGCACAATTTCCTCTAGCTATCAAACAAATTACAATATTAAAAAATATAGTTTACAAAAATATTATTAAAGATAGTATTGCATATTTGCACAAAGCTAGAAATAAATTGCAACAACTTTAATATAACATTTAAAATATTTTAGTATGCAACTCCATCTAGTGTTATATACAATTCTTTCCTTGGCCACCTAGGTCACCGTACAGCCAAATCAACGCTAGACAGTTTCATGTATTCTATTATTTAATTGGTTCACAATCAACATATCATTTAAAAAAGCAAATTAATCTCAGGTATATTTTAATTTCCATGTTATATTTTTAAAGAAAAATTATTTCTTTAAATTCCTAGTCATTCTTTTGCTCAAACTTTTGTCAACAAGAATGTGAGCCTGATGTAAAATAAGATAATGGCACTTATGTCAATCACGTTGATTTTATCTTTTGGAGTAAACAGCAATGTAAGAGTGTTTCACAGAAAACAAACATAAGGAAAAATTATTCCAAATACTCTTCTAGTTAATGTCAGATATTTATGACTTCCATAAAAGTAGCTAATAAATTTAATAAATCCTTTCTTTCATGGTAACATTCACTAAGTCATAGTCGTCGTTTGTTTTAGAGAAAAGCTACATTGGGCTACGTGTCATGTCTACTACGGGGAATCAAACCCCAGATTCTAGCACTGTAAGTCTGTAAACTTACCACTGACCCAACATGAGACTAGTCACAATCTTTCACATCAGTTACCTAAAAGCTTATATATAAATACTGACAAAAAATATTTCATAGCAAGAAAAATGTTTTGAAAACTGTTTGTTGTTAAACACACAGCTACACAATGGGATATCTGTACTGTGTCCAACACAGGTATCAAAACTCAGTTTTTAACATTATAGGCCTGCAGACTTAACACTGATTCACTGGGGAAGCTGAATCAGAAAACAGACATTGTTGTAGAGTGGTTAGAAGTGGAGCTCAGGTATGTAGATAACACTTCTAACCAGGAGCTCAGGTAAAATATTTGTAGATAACACTTCTAACCAGGAGCTCAGGTAAAATATTTGTAGATAACACTTCTAACCAAGAGCTCAGGTATGTAAAATATTTGTAGATAACACTTCTATCCAGGAGCTCAAGTATGTAAAATATTTGTACATAACACTTCTAACCAGGAGCTCAAGTATGTAAAATATTTGTACATAACACTTCTAACCAGGAGCTCAGGTAAAATATTTGTAGATAACACTTCTAACCAGGAGCTCAGGTAAAATATTTGTGGATAACCTTCTAACCAGGAGCTCAGGTATGTAAAATATTTGTAGATAACACTTCTAACCAGGAGCTCAGGTAAAATATTTGTAGATAACACTTCTAACCAAGAGCTCAGGTATGTAAAATATTTGTAGATAACTACAAACTAAATTATGTTTGATTAAACAAGTTTTTGTAATTTAATAAATAGATTGATTTAATATATAGTTTAATAATGAAATAAAAAACAACATATACTTCTAAGTATATGTTATTACAATTCTACAACTGTACAACAATTGTTATAAAATCTGTACTTTGTTTTTTCCTAAACTCTCTACACAACAGAATTAATATAATTTTTTTAGCATCACAGATTTTGTTCGTCTGTATTGTACAAAACTGGGAGTCAAAGAAAATGTGTTGAAGAAAACTTTATGGGGAGACTTCTTCTTAAATTCTAAAGCTAAGAAGATAATGAAATTGATATTTTGTAATTTTTGACTTCAGGTTCACACTGATGTTTGTGTGTGGAACCTATACATCATTAATGTTGATACTGTGACTTCAGGTTTTTGACTGGAGCAGTGGTTTGGATGAGACTGATGATTCCTCTGTGTATTTCTCACCAGAACAGGGAAATGTGATTTTTGGTAGTGCTTTAGATGGTTGGGCATTTAGGTAAGATTTTAGATTTAGTACTTTTATAGGTAAGAATCTTCATACCATATTTGGTATTTATTATTATAGATATTGTTGTACTCCATTTTGTTACTGAAAAAATTTTGAGGTCTGAGAATTTATGCATTAATTATGTATAGGTTCCACACACAAAGATCAGTGTGAACCTGAAGTCAAAAATTACAAAATATCAATATTAATGATGTATAGGTTCCACACACAGGTGCACACACACATCAGTGTGAACCTGAAGTCAAAAATTACAAAATATCAACATTAATGATGTATAGGTTCCACGCAAACATCAGTGTGAACCTGAAGTCAAAAATTACAAAATATCAACATTAACAATGTATAGGTTCCACACAAACATCAGTGTGAACCTGAAGTCAAAAATTACAAAATATCAACATTAATGATGTATAGGTTCCACACAAACATAAGTGTGAACCTGAAGTCAAAAATTACAAAATAATAACAATATTGATGTACAAGTTCCACAAACACAGGGTTAGTGTGATCCTCAAACCAAAAGATACAAAATAACACTATTGATACAGATTCCACACACACACACATTAATGTGAGAAAAGAAAAGGGACATGAGAATAACGTAAAACCTAATATGTCCTTACACTCAATTTTCACTAGAATTACAAAAATAACAATCTAAGTCCAATGATTATATAATGTCTAGATTAGTGAATCTGAATTAAGACCAAGAAATTCATATATATAACATATTAACCCGTTATCATCCATGGAGGGATTTTTTCCACTGCCATAACTTGGGTAAATGTATGGGTGGAGATGATTAACGATAAACAACAGCATTTCCACATTCATTTTATACCTGCAGTGCTCTAAGGATTTACCCAAAGTTTCTGAAGGCTCTCTATGTCATTTAGATCAAAATGATACTTTGTGTAATTTTAGAAATATATACACATTTTTGTGCTCCAATATCAAAGATTACAAAAATGTGTATAAAAAAGATCTTGCACATGAGGTCACAAAACCTCCTGTTTTATTCAACACCACATACTTACAGTACCATTCTTTGTACTTACATTATCATACCACACACTTACATTATCATTGTTTGTACTTACATTATCATACCACATACTTACAGTACCATTGTTTGTACTTACATTATCATACCACATACTTACATTATCATTGTTTGTACTTACATTATCATACCACATACTTACAGTACCATTCTTTGTACTTACATTACCATACCACATACTTACATTATCATACCACATACTTCTATTGTCATTGTTTGTACTTACATTATCATACCACATACTTAAATTATCATTGTTTGTACTTACATTATCATTGTTTGTACTTACATTATCATACCACATACTTACATTATCATACCACATACTTACATTATCATTGTTTGTACTTACATTATCATACTTCATACTTACATTATCATACCACATACTTACAGTACCATTCTTTGTACTTACATTATCATACTTCATACTTACATTATCATTGTTTGTACTTACATTATCATACTTCATACTTACATTATCATACTTCATACTTACAATGTAAGTATGTGGTATGATAATGTAAGTACAAACAATGATAATGTAAGTATGTGGTATGATAATGTAAGTACAAACAATGATAATTTAAGTATGTGGTATGATAATGTAAGTACAAACAATGATAATATCATTGTTTGTACTTACATTATCATTGTTAGTACTTACATTATCATAGTTTGTACTTACATTATCATACTTCATACTTACATTATCATAGTTTGTACTTACATTATCATACCACATACTTACATTATCATACTTCATACTTACATTATCATACCACATACTTACATCATCATTGTTTGTACTTACATTATCATACTTCATACTTATATCATCATTGTTTGTACTTACATTATCATACTTCATACTTACATTATCATACTTCATATTTACATTATCATACTTCATACTTACATTATCATAGTTTGTACTTACATTATCATACCACATACTTACGTTATCATTGTTTGTACTTACATTATCATACTTCATACTTACATCATCATTGTTTGAACTTACATTATCATACCTCATACTAACATCATCATTGTTTGTACTTACATTATCATAGTTTGTACTCATAATGAATCTTATTGCTGCATTTTAATATACAGTTTTTTTACTTTAATGCCATACAAAATAGACTATAAAAATAAATAATAAAACTACAATAAATTAGAATGTCTGAGTGAAATTTGTAGTTTGCCATTCACAAATTTCAACTTTGCACTGGCAACCAGACAAACTGTATTTTTCAACTTCCACATGTAGGTTTATGTTCTGAAAGACTGAGTGTTAAGATAATTGGTAAAAATAAAATGATTGTATTTTTATGTTCTAGTTAATAGTTGCAGTTAATATTATGGACTAGATAATGAACATGTTTCTCGTTAGGTGGTGTAATACTCAATGTTTGGCCAAAACTTTCTCTCTTTAGAACAAACTTATGAGCTAGACGTAATTTATTGCATTAGAATCTTACAAAACCCAAGGTGATGCCTAAGTAGTTGTAGTTTAATGAAGACACTCATTTTAAAAGTTACTAGTACAGAAAATAATTGACCTAAACTATTTTTATAACAAATGATACTTTTCTTCTAAATTATAACTTTACCTAACTTTTAGAAATGGTGCTTGGATAAACATGTATCTAACACCTTTCTCCTCAACCATTTTGACAGATGTGCCAATAACAATATATATATATAACCTCCTGTAACATAATGCTTCCTTTAGAACCAAATTCCCTCTTTTCTTTTAAAAACTTTGTAAAGATGACAAACAAAGATGAGGCTTGTTTCACTGTATTTATATTTCAAAGTGTTCTTTACATTTGGATCTTAAATGCATCTTAATTAGAAAATTTTAAAAGCAATTTACTCTACCTGCATTTCTAAGTCTAAAGTGAACAAACACTTAGTGGAATAACATGCTTGTAACAAATGCAATAATCCATTTACAAAACATCAATACACTAACCTTTCCTTCTGAGGGTGGCTCTTCAACATTTAGTTTAGCTTCACGAGTCTAGAAAACAAAACAATTAAAGCAGATCTCTTAAACAAAATAACAGAAAAATTACTCTTATGTGCCTGTATTATAACACTATTTGAAACAGTGTATTATTTAGCAGACAATATATGATTAAAATTTTCACAAAAAATTCTACTAGCACAAATAAGTGATATTTTCCATAAACACATTCTTCACAAACTTGATTCAGTTACAAGAAGAATAGGCAAGAATATTATTAAAAAAAACAATAATAATAACATACTTAAATTAGTTACATTTTAAAAACTACTAGTCCTAGGGGAATCAGATTTAGTCAGAATCAAATTAAGAACTACAAGTTTCATTCAGAAAAGTTTAGTCAAGGAACAGGGCGTTTCATACATTAAGCCTAATGGAACAGGGCGTTTCATACATTAAGCCTATCTTGAAACAAGGCATCATCTTTTCTGCATGGTGTCTAAAGATCCTCACAATATTACTACATTTAGTTCATATTACGAATCGATGAGAGCAATCTTTCTAACAAACATTATTGTAAGTGAAAAGAAACTCTGGGACTGGTGTTTTTTCCCCCTACAATAATGTGTACTAGAAAGTTTACTTTCATTGGTATATAATACGAATTAAATATAGTAATCAACCCAATAATTGCTTAACCACAACACACACACAATGTACTATAAAGTTTCATATTCATAGTTAAAAGGCCTCATGAGTGAAAATATACATGAACAGCTTGTACTCTTGGATAGAGCACTGATCTTATTAGCTAAAGTCCTGGGTTCGAGCCCCAGTCCCAAAGATTCTTTTCACTTATCCGTTTTTTCACTTGCCATATTCCTCCCAATACCCTGAAAACTTACACGCATTTTACTGAAATCATCAATCTGATACTGCCAGGATATCAGAAAAATAAAAGCTTAAGTTGTTAATTTGTACAAAACAGAAACTTTAGTATGTAGTATAATATATGTTCAAATTTTCTGAATAAAACTTAAGATTTTCAACATGCCCCTGGTAAAAATTTTTTTTGCCCAATGACAACTACTTTAGATAAAATTAGTTTAGTGGACTTTCTTTAATTAAACTGTAAAAGTAATAGCAACAGAAACTTATCAAAATGCTTACCTTGTTACTTCTGGTCAGAACTTCTGCAGTGAATAGTTCTCCAATTACTGCATTAACCTAAATTATAATAATTGTCAGCACTAAAACTTATAAATTCAACAACAAAAATATGTGTTTTAAAAATTCTTCTTAATCACAATTCAGAGGGTTGAGTACCTAAAATATAATAATTTCCAATAAGCAAATCAGCAAGTCAGGTGAAAACCATAATCAACATAAAATTGTGGTGAAACAGCATGTATTATAACTATACTTAAACATTGTTTGGTATTTCGCAAGTTGTGTGATGCCACCAAACATTTATCACTTTTGAGCTGTTGTATGTAAGAGCTCTTTCTGATGCAAAATATTCAAACCTTCTGATCATAAAGATGTATTCAGATTGCGGATTTAGAATTTTGAAGATGGGAATGTCCCTTGTATTTAACTCTCTCACTACGAGGTCAGTTGAATCGACTGACCTCATAATCATTTTGTACTCATTATAGTTTTTATACAATAACTTTTAATACACTTTGATGAAGTATTTTTATTAAAGATTTGTCCATGAATATATAGTATTTCTATATACTAGTCCTAGTGCAAAGTAATTTCCACATTAAGATTAAAAATACTTCATTTCAAAAATTGCTTAAATAAATTTCAAACATTTTTCAGTAAAATTTTATATTTCATCTGTTATTTTCTCAACTCTAACTTTATAGAAGATTGGTAGATTTGACTGACCTCATAACCACCAAAAAAAAAATTAAATAACTCTAAATTACCTTTTGACTTCAAATTGTAATATGAAACTACATTTGTTTATCTTAAATAGTTTTAAACTCTATTTATACTTGAGCCCTGTCTAACTACTATTCACACCATTATAAGTTGTAATTCACTTGACAAATGTGTAGCTCACGAGCATACCTCATGAAAAAAATGTATTATATTATTATTTATTTCATCTAATCTAACCTTAACTAACATAAAAAGTTTCCTGTTTACATCTTTGTTAATTTCATAACAATAAATAAAAAATACATATGAAAAACAAGAAATAAGGTACTTATCCAGGTCTTCTTTTTTTGTTGATTGTCAATGACACTTAACCCTACTTTTTATATTAACGGTAGTACTGTACTAAATAATATTGCATTCAATTAAATAATGCACTAAAGATCACAGAATAATAATGTGCAAAAGGCATAACTATCACAATTTTTCTGGCTTTCTAACTATATAACAAGAGTTGTTAAAATTTCATCTAAGCTAATCAATGTGTTTCCCATGGGAATCAAGCTTGAACTGAAAGAGAAACTGACAATTCTCTTTATAGAAAACAACATAATATGATATGTCATATGATAGAT